AAAAAAAAAAAAAAAAAAAAAAAAATTCCTCACCGAACGAAACTTTTCACGCACGAGCAGAAAGGCACACCCGGTATAATTTGGTTGGCTCGCGACAAATAATAGCCAAGCGGGAGAGGGTGGAAGGGGGAAGGTGGTGAAACGTGGACGTGGAAGAAGGGTGGATGGAGAAAGGGTGAATTGCAGCTACGTGCACCCGCATACGAATCATCCCTCGCGCCGCGTGGGCGCGAGAAACGTAGTCGTTGGCCGGGCTCTCGAGGACCCCTGAAACCGTCGGCGTCGCCTCCAATCTAATGGATCGCACCGATACTTATGGTCAAATCGCGACCAACACCACTCTAAAGCCCGCTCATTAGCATTCCGCGCGGCTGAACGAGCGCTTTTGATAATCGGAAATACCCGGTCGTGCCCTGCTAAATTAAGCCGGGGAGAAGGGTGTTATTATCGCGCTTTAAGTTGAGGGGTTACCGGGACGAAAAGTGAAAGGGGGAGAGGAGGTTCGAGAGGTTCCTCGAGGTGGTGCTCTTTTAATGGATTTTTCGCGGAGACGAGTGGTTATTCCATTTGTGAAACTTGGAACTAATTGAATGAATCGAAATGAAATCTTTACCAATCGGTTTAGGAGAATTTAAAATCTGAACGCGAATTAATCAGAGTTGTTGTCGGTTGCGGATGAAAAAAAAAATTGGATAATTGTGACCGATGAAGGAATTAAATTTCGAAAATCGTATCGAAATGTTGGTAGTCGAAATTAATTTTAACGGAAAGCCGGGGAAACGGTGGTTAGCCAGCGATTGGATCGGGAATCGCGCGTAGATCGGGGAAAGCTTACGGTCCACCGTTTCTCAATTAAGTTTCGCGGCCGCAAACGCAACGGAAGTGGAAACTTTCCCTGTAACTTTCAACGGGATATCCTCCTCCCCTCCCCCGTCGTAATTCCTGTTGCTCGAGTTTTAAGCTGCCTTAACAGGGGCTTTAAAGTTCCTCGAGAGATCGTGCACTCTACGTGTACTTGGAGATTACGAGCACGCCAATTCGACATCCTGAATTTAAGATATACACGGGTATTCGATTCAGAAACACGATTTTTTTTTCCTTTTTGCAAGAAATGTTGCAAATTTTTATCAAGATCTACGATGGACGTTGTAACGTGATAGTAACACAGTCGAGCGATATTTCGTCATTATTACTATTATTTTAAGGTATAGTAAAAGATTGTATGCATGTATATTTATAGTAGAAATTCCAAAATCCTGAATTGCAATTATACACGAGTGTAATTGGTTTGGTAAATGTAAAATTAATTATTCTGAGTATTTATTAAATGTAGATATTAGAGCAGATACTTACGAAGGATCGTTTTGTGTTTCAGGAGAGTCTGGAAGAGCGGGTGCAGGAATTGGAACAGGCATTGCAAGCAGAGCGTATTGCTGCGCAACGAGATCGGGCGACGATCACGAAGCTCCAACGGCAGATCAACAAGGTGAGTCGAATAAACGTGATTTCCGTTTCAACTAATCGGGTTATTATTATCGAACATCATCGACGTGTAGTACCTGTGAAACATCGTGCGTGACTAATATTCAACGTGGAATATATTATAAACGAATTATTGATTTCGATTTCACAATTGAATTCAATTTAAAATTAAATTTCATTTTTGATTCGTTGCGACGATGATGATTAGATAAACTGCAATTGTTCGCGAGATAATGCTAAAACTGTTCGAAGAATTATCTATATATAAAAAAAAAATAAACAAATAGAATTAAACCGGTTGAAAGAAAATTTCTATTAAAAGAATCGTAAAAATGGAGGAAAAGGATATTGGTTTTTCAAGCATGTTGACGCCGTCTCGCCAGTTTATATCAGATAACGAGAAGTTTCTCGTAATCTCAGCATTGCAATATGTGTTGTATCATTTCGATGTCGCCTTCCAACGCCTGTAATCACTTCCGTCTGGGAATTATCCACTGAATTATCTCGCGCCATTCCGCGGATTATCCAGTTATTTCGCGATACGCGAGAATCTAACTGCGATACCGCGAATGTACCCGATAATTTACGACCACAATACGCCTCTAGGTTCCTACATCACAGAATTTTTGTAACAAAGTCGGATGATAATTCATTTTTAATGCAATTATATATATATATATATACAACCTTGATTTCTCTGATTAAATCGAAAAGTTAAATTAAAAG